CGCCTAAACCATGCGAAAGATTTTTCCAAATTAACGAAACCCCTGTCCATTTAGCCTAAGTCAAAGCTCTACGATTTTTAAAATCATTGAAAAGTTTTTAGGAATACTTTTCATCAAGCCCCTGGGACATTTTCAAAATTTTCTTAAAAACAGGTCCACATTTTTATTTAAATTTTATATAAGAAAAGAGTAAAATGCACTCATAATGTAGCTTAGGGCTATTTTTACGGTTAACTCTGAATTTACTATTCTTTAATATTCTGAAAATAATATTTCCGTTTTATCATTAGAAAAAAAAATTTAAAAAAAAGTATTTTGGGTGGCGATAGATGGCTGCAAGCAAGAGTACGTTGCAAGTTTGAATAGCTAGCCGAGACCAAAGGAAATAGAAAACCGATACGGGAAAATCTGTGTCATTCTGTAGCACCATTATTTTATTGAATCTGTAAGATTAGTAAGAAAATATCCAAACTGATATTAATTAGTGAATTCTAGAATCCATTGACATTGGCACAGTAGACTCGCCCATGTATCATACACGACGGCGTGTGCACGGCATAAAAAAAAAACAAAAACTTTCTTGCCTATGAGTCCTTCCTTCACTCACAACTTGCCCCCAATCTCATTGTTAGGTGCAGTCAGCAACTAATTCCGATCTTTAATTACCATAAAATTTAATATAAAGCACAAAAAAATTAATACAAATTGTTTTTACTGTCTTATAATATTTTTCGTTTCATGCTTCATCAAGGGGAATGTTGTCGCAAGCATTACGCAATTATATAAGAGAGGGGGGGGGGTTCAAGCGCGCATTACGATTGAGTTACAAAGGGTGAGGGAAATATCTAAAATAATTAAATTTAAAGCAACAAGTTATTTCTGTTGCATGAAAAAATGAATACTGTTTATGAATTGGGGAAGGGGATTTTGTTTGAAATATGATTCCGCCTTGGGATCAACTGCCCCAGGCCCCTGGTTTTTCCCGGGTGCCCAAACAATTTATTGTTATAAATTTGCCACTTCTGCCAATATTATAATAAGTCAATTCGTTTTTTTCGTAAAGAATTTTTCTACGAATTTGGCTGTGCAGAACAATGCAATAAAGTTTGTATGCATAATTCTGTAGTGTTACAGGTAAATCATCGTCTCAAATATTATTTCAGTAGTATACATATCCTTTGCAGTTCTCACACACAACCGATCTTTATAAATGAGATCTCTAAAGAAAGATAATTTCACAGAGACGTGACTAATTGCACTTTGACTTTCAAAATGTGGAGGATTTGTTTAAAAACGCATCTAAATATTCATATCAAATGCAACCCACAGCACTCGGTCAACTATATCGTTAATTAACTCCTAAACGAAGCATTCTAGGGCCTTAAAAACTAACATTTTGAGGCGAACGGCCCCAAATGGGCCCAAAGAAATGTTTCCCACACAGTAATTTTCCGGATGAGATTTTCTTGGACATCTATTAAATTTTTTATGGTTCGGCTCTTATCAATACTACCAGTACCACCTAGATTTCAACCCTTGGTGATGGTGGCCATCTTTGTGACGTGACACTTAGAAGGCTTAGATTCGTCTATCTTGTACTATTTTCGCTCTTAGTGTATACCGTGCTTTGCGCATTTGCATAATTATTAATTCAAGATTCACTCTCGCACCAACAACTAGAAATACTATTAATAGTAGTTTGATACCGATGAAAATTGTTTCTTATGCGTGTAGTGAAAACATTAAGAAGCAACCAAATTTAAAATTGTAGAAAGAATAGTGCAAGTCATTCGACAACTGCCGACGATCACAATCCAGACGCACGATTTAAAAAAGTTGGCGGTATCTGGAAGTCAGAACTTCAATTTCCAGCTGTAAACTCATTATAAATAATCCACCGTTTGATATTAAACGTAAGGTACCAGTTTGCTAAGATATCTAATACGAAAATATCGTTTGAGCAACATTCCCACGTACCGAAGTGAAGTCTAGCGTATATAATTGTTTCTAATGGTAAAAAATGGTATTTATTACTCTAAGGTGAAAATATTATTTTTTGGCTCGGAATTCATTTTCTTAAGGTGCACAAGAACGCAGAATATTATCCAATAGTTTTAGCATACAAATCATTTTTCAATTTTCGCACCCCCGCAAGCTGGCGCCTGGCCCCTTCAAAACCCCCACTTATTTCTCATTACAAGTCCAGGACAGTTAAATAATATTGCAAAGCGTAGGGTTGTACTTGCCTGATCTTGTATTTTTGCACGGAAAACTTTACTTGGCTTTCTGAAGAGTAACAACCTTTTCTAATACTTTTGTGACAATCAATGAAAGCAAAAAGATAACTGTCAAGGATCTTCAAATATTATTAAGGCAGTGTGAATTGTTCGAAGAACGTTTCTCCCTAATACTCAATAAACCTTTATTGAAAATTTGTTTCTGTCAATTGCATTGTTTTTATTTTGTTTTATATTGTGTAAATTCAAAGTTACATTTATACATTTGAAGAAAAAAGAAAAGAAAAAAAAAAGAAGAAGAAAAAAAAAAGTTTCATTGACAACTTTCCTTTTTAATGGGAGGGGTAGGGAAAGGGTGAGGATTAACTTACAAGAGTTCTCGTACGGCTATGCTAGTTGAAAAATATTCCTCCTAGAATGATAAACTTGTTAGTTGAAAATATGAGACAAGAACTAAAAATATTAATTTGAAATTCACTGTTTTAACATTCATTAATATAAAAATTGTAAATATTTTAATTTTATGCAAAATTCTGATATCTGAAAATAAAAGGAACAGAGATTTTAAATACCTAATTCATAATTCATTACCTTGAGCTTCACCATTTCCATTTCAAATCAGTTTTCTTTTTAAAATTTCATTCTAATGTCTTCTTAAAATTAACATTTTTTGTCTTCAAGTGAAACATTTAGCTCTAAAAAATAATATGTTTATGGAGAGAATTTTCATTTGTATTCTTTCAAAGGGCTTGCTCATTTTGTTTCAACCTTTGAACTTTACATTCAACAACAAAGTTAGTGATAAAAATTACCTTAAGTAGGTCAATCAGAAGAGCAGGCCTCAAGGCCTGAGTCTCGCCATATAAAATAAAGCATCACTTTATTTCAATCCAATTTTTACATTTAGAATTAAAAGGTCATTATTCAAGGTTAAATAAAATGTTTCCCTTATGTTTCTTATGTATTTAGACACCTTTAAAAAACTCTTTTGAGTTTATATCATTCATCAAATTTTCTGAATAATGTGGACATATTATGAACAATCTGGAAGCCAGGGGACTTCAAAAGTCATTCACACGTCTCAAAATTGTGCAATGGTTCTGCACAATCTCATAATACCTCTCCTTTACAGGCATTTGTGCATCTTTTATGGCTTAGACAGATAAAACTTTTTTTTTTTTTTTTGAAAATATATAATTACAGAACACTTACCAAATTTTTCAAGAAACATAAATACACTCTCAGTATTACCATCATCAAGGATAAAATTAAAAATATTATAAATGAGGCAAAATCGTTTTAGAAGTTCTTGAACAAGTTGCTAAGAATAATTATTTTTTTCATAAATGTTTACTACTTATAATTTTTTTACTGGCTACACATCTATACTTAAGAAAGATTAATTTTTCCTTCTTTTACAGGAGACCAAAAATAATGTATTTATTCTTCCACATTAAAAACATTAATACTTATATTGTTTTACATTGAGAAAAAAAAATACTATTTAAAAAAATAAAATGTAGTTCCATTTTCCTCGTTTAAGGAGGAACATTTTATTTGAAGTAAATTCAATTTTGATTACAAGGTATTATTTCTTAAGTGTCAATTTGTTTATAAGAAATCAGTATTTATGAACATAATATTTCACAAATATATTTCATAATATAAAATTGTATGTTAATAAGTGACACATTAGAAGTTTCTTTAAGTGAAATAATTCATTAGGGCAAAATATAATTTAAAAAAAATCCTTCAATTGTGTAAATGTAGTGTCTTTATTCCATTAATAAAGCACTCTTGTGGAACATATTCTCGCTGTTTTGAACTTAATAGATAAAAATGACATGTAGCAATTATTCATTGATTCAAAGATTTGAATTTAAGAAACGGGCATTAGAAACATATTCACAGTACTTATGAAAATTGTAGAACGTGTCTGGTACAGTTGGTAATGTACAATAGACAGATAATAAATAAAATAGGCTATTATAATTTCGTTATTTGGTTCAATATGTTGTTTGAATAATTTTAAGAAACCATTATCTTCACATCACTGAAAGCAATGCTGATTTGAATTAGTAATTTTATGCAGTATGCTTCCATCTGATTTTGTTAATTTGCAGAATACTTTGACCTGAATGAACGCATAGTATTATTATAACAGTAGATACTATATATTTTTGTAGCCTAGTTACAAAAGGGAAATTAAAATGTAAGAAATAGCATAGACGGTAACGTAAAGCTCAGGCTAAAAGTTTCAACTTTTTGGTAGAAATATGAGTAATTATCAAGGATGTACCTAACCACACTTTTCGTTAATGTCAATGTGGTCCTAAAAATTTTTATTTATTAATCGCATGTTTATGAATGTATTTTAAAAATTAATTTGCTATGAGCAAATTCACTTGAATTAGTAACATTTGAGCTAATTCACAATAAATATCCACTTTATGTGGTTAAAATAATCTGATGTACGTCCAAAAGTACTTCGTCAGCTTATTGTAATTCAAATGATCTTGTTTACTCGACAATAAAATTAACAAAATCTAAAAATTATCACCCAGCGACCTCGTCAGCTGATCAGCATCTTGCTAAGAAATTAGAGCTGTGCCATACAATGTCGAATTAAGGAATTCCAAAAAAGGACATTAAATCTTTCGCTTTCAACTGTTTTGCGATCTAGTCAAATTACTTTTTCCTAATATAGTTAAAACTGTTCGTAACTACAGTCTTACAATTTAACAATTTCACGAACGACCTACAATTCTCGCCGTTTTTTATGAAATGGAATGTCGAACGAATTGAGTATAAGCAAGAAAATTACATTACAAGTATTCTCTATATATAAAATTATATTTTGTAATAAAAATTAAAATAAAAAATTAAACGGCAATTTTTGACTCCGTAGGGTATCTTAAAGTAGTATTAAGAATCTCATTTGAACTCCCCGACGTCAGCTGGTACATGAGAACAAGCGAGCAGACAGAAATGGCGGCGCTAATGCAAGGTGTTCAGTATGGTTTGTCATCGCAAGGAACTTTTGATGAAAATAAGTCTTTGATTTTTGTGAAACTTACAGATTCTGCGTTCCGTGCTATTGAAGAATATTTGAGGAATAAGGTAAGGCAAAACAAAGTGCCTTATATCAGATGAGTGATGAGTAATAGGTGATGTGAGATATGTCTGTAGTGTGTGTAGTAGTCGCCATATTTTGGAATGGTGTCGAGTTCCCTAATTATTAAGATAACTAGCCTCAGTTGAATCGCTGTTAGTCAGCTATAATGTTCCTCGATTGCTGTTTGAGATTGAAAGGAATGAGATGGCCCCAACAAATATTACACGAATAAATTACGCCACGTCAACGAGCAGGTGCGAAAATTAGGTTGGAATAAGTTTCCTCTTAGTTTTCGCGATAGTTAAAATGTGTCTTCGAAATGTGATGTTAGGTCCTGAAAACCGTTTTCTGCGTTCAAAAAATTGTACATTTTTAATAGCTATCCTCTGTGGCACGAGTAATTATTTGTGCAAATGCTGACATAAGGATACCCAAGCTGAGGTGTGTCTCAATTTTTAAAAATATTTTCAGATTTATCGATAATTTCGAATTGTGCATTTGTGTGGCGGAAATCCAAGTGTCGTCCCTGTGAATGTGTACTCGAGTGAATTTTCTCACCACTGGAAGGCGAAATCAACTGCTTTATTTTCTCACCTTACTACACATTGAAAAATTTTTTTTAATGCTGTAAATGGTGTGATATTGACCAGGTACCATTGAAACGAGGTTGTGTCATTATAGGAGTGCAGAAAACCACATAAATGTACCTGTGGAACCATATGGAGTGAAGGTTAGAGTGAACATATGGACAGTTCTCTTCCTAAGTGAATTCCACATACTTGCCTCAATTTGTCTAATATGCGACTAAAATTGAGTTTTCTGTGATAATGTGCAAAGAAAAATCTGAATTGCTTTCAAAGTATTGGCTTGTGTACAGGGTTATGAGGTTAACAAATTGTATGTCCCCTGTGAACCGCATATTGTTGTGTAGTGAATATTAAGAGGGTGTGATTTTAATGAATCTCAAAAAAAAAAAAAAGTGTTAATAATCAAAGTTGAAGTCTTCATTGATTTACAGATGTGTGGTACAAATTTTAGTGGACATTTTTGTAGCCGATTTGTGTACATTTGTGGATTTACAATTTATAATTCTGTAGCTGCAAGCTTGCAATTTTTAATGATAATGATGTTTGAGGCTTAGGAAAAAATATAGAATTAAATGGGCTTTCATTATTAAAATACATGAAAACATAGTATCTGGTGCTAAAAATGAACTTCAGGATATAATTCTCAAAGAATATCTTCTGATGATTAGTCAGGTAATTTGTGATTCACAATATTTGTTTGAAAATACTGTTCATTTGTATTCTTTCATAGAAAGCCTTGAAGACCTCTGATATGAAATAATATCAAGGTCTTTTTCTCAACTGTGTTAAAGTGAGCTTTCTCAACTGACTTCAACTTTGTGAGTGCTGCTGAAATAGTATGTGGAGAAGAATTAAGTGTTGAAAAACAATATGTAGAAGACCCATATTTTATACTCTAGAATTATTGATAAAACTCTTTACCATATGTTGTTTGGGGGGAGGGTAAAATTTTAAATAGTATTTAACTCTGTCTCTTTGCAATGATTTTCTGCTTCTGAAAGCATTTGAAATTGTAAATATTTTATTTAATATTGGGAACATTTAACATCCTTGGGGTGTATGTAAAAGTTAAAGATAGCTTGCAAACGTTTACTCATGGTAGTCAAAATGTATTAACAAGTTCTGGTTTTCATGTTGGAGTGAATAAAAAAAAAATGAACTAAATGATTGAAAAGTACAGTTTTATCTTCTTTCTTTCTGCGCATTTCAGAGGTTGCATTCAGTTCAGTTGCAATCATCTTAGGTTTTATAAAATCAGGGAATTAGGTTTGCTTAATTGTTATTATTTTAGTTCTTGGCTTAGATTGAGGCCAGGAATACTTCGGCTATGGCTCTGACTTCGGAAGATTTGGCATATGAATATTCTAATAAAATGTTTGTGGGCTGGGGCTGAAAGTAAGATATTGGACGTATTCTTCATTGTATATGTGAAGTATTTCTATTCTTTTGTTTGTAATATTGTTGTGGACAAATATTAGTAAACTTTTTGCATGAACTCTAACTTGAGTGTGGTTGTAATCTGTCTTGTGTAACTGTTCAACCTACTTTCACAATTGACATCTTGTATATTGATGTGTTCATGCATAACTTTTCTTTGTAAACAGCTGATAAATAACAATTTTGAAAATTGTCCATCAACTACCTTATTGGATTAGCGATAACATACATTATTTTATTTTCTTAGAATTCTTTATGCTAATGGAAGATGTAATACGTACAATACCAAAATCAAGTTTCATTGCAGAGTTTTGTTCTTAAAAGTGTATAAAATCTGCAATTTTAAGAAATCTGCACGCTTAAGAAATGTGCAAAGTTTCTTATAGTTAACAAGATGTATGATGACAGTAATGAAAAGAGGCATGATTGTGGAGCCACATGAAGCACACAATTTCAGATTTTGCCAAGTTTCCTGTTGTTCAATATAAAATATTTCAGTGATTCTGTGCAAATTTTTGGTACATATGCTTCAGTCATATGCGTTTTAAAAATATGTAATTTTAGCATATGTTATAGTAACTTATCTTGAGAGGCATTCTGATTAATTTCGCCATGAATGTTTCTATACTATATTTGTTACTTAGATGGTAGTTTGTTGCTTGTTCAAGCTATCATCAACATTGGAATTTCATTGACAGTATGAAAAGAATAACTTCTATATTTAAGAAAGTTATTTTCCTAAAGCATAAACTATATTTAGGGAAGATTAGTATGTAAACAATTTTGAAATTGACTGAAGATGCTTTTGGCAGGAATGTTTTGAAAACTGGGCACATTCTCAGCTCATGTATTAAGATCTTTTCTGGGGCATATTGACTTTGATTCATGGATGTGTTTTCGGCATTTAAAATTTTTTTTTTTCAAATTATTAAATTACCTGCCAGAATAGTACTATTAACTGTCAGTATGTTTGTAGTAATTGTAGTGTAAATTTATAATGTAGTGTAAATTTATAATGTAAAAATTGCTGTTTCACTAGAAAATGTTGCAACAGCAGGCTTTTTTAAATGGCCAAATCTGTCATTCTCATCATGTTCGTATTGCAGTTGTAGATAACTAGTTAGATCAGAAAGTTTTATATTACATTCTGAGATTTGAATGTGATTGAGGTGTCAAGTAATATAATATTGCAGTCTTGATGTGTTCAAAGAAATTTGAAGTTAAGGAATCATTTTCTCACAGAGCTTTTGAGATCAGCATTTATTAGTGTATTGGAAGAGGTGATTTCTCCTTGTCAGCATTTCCACAAATCTTACTTAGTGTACTAATGTTTAACAAATGAAATGTAAGTTTTGTTTGAATTGTGTAAAAGAAAACATGTGAGACTGAGGTTCATGCTTGTAGGTTTGCATTTTTGCATTGCTCTTGTAATCTTTGAAAGAAAATTCTTCAGTACAAATTTGATGTCAGTTTTGAGATTTGTTAGATTCCATTTTAATTTTGTGGGAACGTGGAGTTTAGGTTCACTTTTAAGAATTACAGTGATGTGGCTTCTGGGGTTTTGAAAATGGTTTAGTGTGCAAGAACAAGCATTATGCGTGCAATTTATATGGAGTTTGCATTAATTATGTGCACTGTTTTTCAGAATATCTTTTGTAATGTTATTTTGAACGAATGTGTGTGTGCGTATGTGATTTGAAGTAGGTAAAACATTGTAAAGATACAAATATTATTTGGAAGGTTAATCTTTCCAAGTGAGATCCCAAAAATCTCATACAATTTTTTGTCTGGTGTAATGACATTTGTCAAAACTTATTTGTAAAATTGTAAATTTGCTTTCATGAAGTTTTTGGGAACTAATGCCTACAGAGCTTTTGAAAGTGAGGTTCCATTTGAGTTTTAGTTAATAGAGTACTCTCATTTTGTGAAAAGTTAAGAGAGACTAGCTGCTTCTTTAGAATGGAGGTTTTTTGCACCATTTGTGTATTGTTACTGGCCGCCAATAGCCAAGAATAAGAAACGACCAGGGAAAAATCATTTTTACATAAAATAAACAACATACTATCGTTTTCTGTCCGTGTTATTTTATTAAATATCTCCGGTTCCATTCGTAAAACTGTTTTAACGATTTGGTGACTAATGTAGACAGTCGGCTTGCAAGCGGTGCAGGGATGTCCCTCCGATGAGCGGGCGGCCCTCGTTGTGGGGGTGGGGCGAAGCGGTTCCTTCTCCCTTCCAGGGGCACGCGTGGACCGTTTGCAGCTGCTTCCCACCTACTTTTTCATGTCACAGCAACGATCGGAGGAGGTTCGTTTTTCGTTAGCATCTCGGCGTAGATTCAACTTGCCTGATAGAGCCGGGTAAACATGTTCTATCGTTTGACGAAACGAGCGATAATACTTGATGTGCGTGGCGCGGTGCTGCACTTGCCGTTTAATCGTCGAAATCCGAGCCAAACCATCACCGGCCTGCGCGATACGCATTACTATGGAGAGCTTTTGTTCACGCACCCGATATGATTACGCGCACCACAGATAACTCGCGGGCGTGCGGGCGGCGCGAGATGCACGTGTGCGACTGTCTCTGTGCGTCTCTGTCGGGCGCTTATCTAACACCTCTGCTCCTCGCGGCTGGCCGCGTGCCACCGCGCCCGCCCTTCCGCTTCACCGCCCCCGCAGATGGCACCCCCCGCCGCCGCCACCTCCGCCTTCGGCCTTCGTCGGCAACAAGTGAGGGGGCCGGGCGGTGGGCCTCTTTGGGAGACGTGGGACGAGGCCGCCCGCGCACAGGGACGGGGATTATGTTCATCACGGTATCTGGGATTAATGCGGCTGCGTACACGAGGTAGGCTGTGCCCAAATCGCTGGTGTGTGGGGTTCCGCGAGCCGGCTTCATAAGCAGGGGCCCTCGGGAGCCTCTGGTGGAACTCGACCGTGCATAGAGAAACCTGATAGTATGGGCCTGTAGCCTAGTGGGCAGTATACCGGAGTTCCGCCTCCCGAAGCCTTCGTTACCGGGGTTCAAATTCTGGCCTCTCCTTTTGGAATTTCCGATAGGCAAACTGGTTTCCTGGGGATCCACCAGATTCCCCGGCCTTTCATTTTCACCATTGCCATAGCATTATCGGCTTGTTCATCTTTTCTTAGATTTGGTCACTTACTCTTATTCTGGGATCATTCAAATATAATGGTTTGACTGAAATAAAAATGGTTTCCAACGTAAATATTATACATTTCAATATACATGTTTGTCTGATTTTTCGTTTTACTTTCTTCTCTGTGAAGCTTTGGTTGTTATCGGTGATGTAATAAGATAAAAAAGGCAGGGAGCTTTCTTTAGATTCGTATTTTAATATAGCATAATTCATAAAGCGTGTCATTGATAAAAATTGATGGTAATGAATTATTGCAATTAAGTATATAGGGCCTATCATATTAATTTTTAGTGATCACAGAGTCAATTGTTCCGGATATTCCAAGTAATCAACATTGCCAGAGGTTAATGACATTTGAAACAATCGTGATGATGCACTGTTATTTTGTATTGGTACCTATAACAAATTTTGACCTACAGCTTCCGGAGTCCGATGTAATCAATTTGTCATAATTCGGACATCGACGCGAGACGCGCCGTAACGCGTGTAAACGAGTTACGGCCGCCAGAATCGTAGTTTCGTTCACCGAATCACCGTAGGCTTCCATGTGCT